AATTTGTGAAGGATTGGTTTTAATTCTTCTTTAAATGTGTGGTAGAATTTTGCAGTGAAGCCTTGACTTTTCTTTGTGGGAAGTTTCTGATTGCTAATTCTATTGCTTAACTTGTCTATTCATATTTTCTATTTCTTCTTGAAGCAATTTTGGTAGTGTGTAATCTAGGTGATCTAATTTGTTGGCACACACTTATTTGTAGTATTCCCTTATTTTTTTTATTTATGTAAGGTTAGTAACAAAGTACCCATTCTCATTTCTAATTTTAGTAATTTGAGTTTTCTCTCCTTATTTCTTGCTGAGTCCAGCTTAAGGTTTGTGAATCTGTTAATATTTTCAAAGAATCAACTTTTGGTTTTATTGATTTTTCTCCATTGCTTTTTGATTCTCTAATTTATTTGTTTCTGCTCTAATCTTTATTATTTTCTTCCTTCTACTTGCTTTGGATTTAGTTTTCTCTTTTTCTCATTTCTTAACATGGAAGATTGTTATTAATTTCAGATCTTCTTTTTTAAGATAGGCCTTCACAACTATGAATTTTTCTCTAAATACTGCTTTCCATTGGTTTTGGTATGTTGTCTTTCCCTTTTCATACATCTCAAAGTATTTTCTAATTTTGCCTGTGATTTTTCTTTAACCCATTCTTTATTTAGGAGTGTGTTTTTTAATTTCTATATATTGGTGAATTTGTCACATTTCCTTCTTATTGTTTTCTAATTTTATTCCATTGTAATCTGATCAGAAAATGTATTTTCAATCTTTTAAAATTTCTTGAGACTTAATTTATGGCCTATGAAGAATACATATGAGTATATTCTTAAGAATATTTTATGTGCACTTAAGAAGAATGTATATTCTGCTGCTAGTGTGTGGAGTCTTCTGTATATGTCTGTTAGGTCTAGTGGGTTTGCAGTTATTCATGTCCTCTCTTTTCCTTATTGATCCTCTGTTTAGTTCTATCCATTATTGAATGTTGGTATTATTGTTGAATCATCTATTTTTACCATCAATTCTCTCAGTTTTTGCCTTGTGTATTTTAGGGCTCTGTCATTATGTGTACGTATGTTTCTAATTGTTATGTCTTTTTCATGGATTTACCTTTATATCATTATAAAACGTACTTTGTCTTCAGTAACAATTCTTGTTTTAAAATCTATATTTTGTCTGATAGTAGTATAGCTATTACAGCTTTCTTTTGGTTACTGTTTGCATAGTATATTTTTTCCACAGGGCTCTGATTATCTTTTTCCATCCCTTTACTTTTAACCTATATGTGTCTTTGAATCTAAAATGAGTCTCTTTTAAACAGCATATAGTTTGATCATGTTTTTTTTTTTCTTTTAGTGTATTCTCCAGTATCTAACTTTAATTGTAGTGTTTAATCCATTTACATTTAACCTATTTACCAGTGAGGCAGGATTTTCGTCTGCCGTTTTGCTATTTGTATTCTGTAAATATCTTTTTTGTTCCTTTAGTCCTCCATTACTGCCCTCTTTTATGTTAAAACATATTTTCTAGTGTGCCATTTTAATTCCCTTGTCATTTCTTTTATTGTGGGTTAAGTTAATATCTTAATTTTTAATAATCTAATTTAGATTAATACCAACTTAATTTCATATGATGCAAAAACTTTGCTCCTATATAGCTCCATTCCCTTCCTACTCCTTTGTGACGTTGGTATAATACAAACTACATCTTTATATTTTATATGCTGTTTATCAGTGCAGATTTATAATTATTGCTTTATGAAATTGCCTTTTAAATCATATAGGGGAAAAAAAGTTACAAATAAAAAATACATTTGTACTATCTTATTATATTTACCAATGTAGTTACCCTTACTAGTGTTCTTTATTTCTTCATGTGAATTTGAGTTACTGTCTTATGTCCTTTCATTTTAGCCTGTAGGACTTCCTGTTGTATTTCATGTAAGGCCAGTATGGTAGTGACAAATTCTATTTTTGTTTATCTAGGAATGTCTTAATTTCTCCTTAATTTTTGAGGGAAAGTTTTGGTGAATATAGAATTCTTGGTTGACAGTCTTTCTCTTTCAACACTATCAGTATGCCATCCCACTACTGGCCAGCCTTCATGGCTTCCAGTGAGAAATCAGCTCCTAATCTTATTGAGGATCAGTTGAATGTGAGGGCATCATTTCTTTATTTTTGCTTTCAAGCTTCTCTTTTTGTCTTTGTCTTTCAGTAATTTGATTATAATGCTTGTAGATGTGGATCTTTTAAAATTTATCCTACTTGGACTTTGTTGAGCTTCTCAGATATATAGATATTAATGTTTTTCATCAAATTTGGGAAGTTTTCACCATTTTGAACTCTTTGTTACCTCTCTCTCGCTTCTCTTTCTGGACTTCAGTTAATGTGTAAGTCAGTATGCTTGATGGTGTCCCAGAGGTCTCTGAGGCTCTGTTCATTTTTCTTTATTCTTTTTCCTTTCTTTTACTCAGACTGGATAATCTCTACATACCTGTATTTAAGTTCACTAATTCTTCTGCCTGTTCAGATCTGCTACTGAGACTGTCTAGTTAATTTTTCATTGAGGTGATTGTACATTTTTTTATTTAAAAAAATTCTTACAGACTTACAAGTGTTTGCTAGATTGCACTTATCAGCTTCAGAATTTCTACATTTCTCATTGGTTCTATATTTTATAATTCCTATCTTTTTATTGATAATCCTATTTGGTCATTGTTCTCATACTTTACTTTGGTTCTTAAGACATGATTTCCTTTAGTTCTTTTAACATAAAGCCTATGTCTACTAAGTTCAATACCTGTAAACTTAGGAACAGTTTCTTTTGTCTTTTTTTTCCTCCTCTGTATGGGTTATAGTTTCTTGTTTCTTTCATGTCTCCTGATATTTTGTTGAAATTTTGATGTTTTAAATAATAAAATGTGGCAACTGAAAAGCGGATTCTGCCTCTCCCAGAATTTGTTGTTGCTATTTGTTGTTATAGTATTTGTTTGCTTAGTGATTTTCTGAGCTAATTATGTAAAGTCTGTATTCTTTTTTATGTGTGGTCACTGAAGTTTCTCTTCAGTTAACTTAGTGGTTAGCTAATGATTAGACAGATGTTTCTTTAAATGCTTAGAACCACAATTCTCACAGTCTTTGCTAAGTGGCTTTAGGTGTGTGTTGGGGCACTACTTCAACACTCATTCAGGCTGTTTACAACTCCACCTTAGCCTTCACTTCCTGCTCACACAGAGCCTCAAGTTAAGCCAGAGGTGACCACTTAGGACTTTTCCTGGGCATGACCACAGACCTGGGCATGCAGATGTCCTTCTAGATTCCCAGGAATATATTGGAGCTTTTCAGAGCTCCCTGTAGACATTTCATTCACCAGCTTTTTCTTTTTCTGGCTAGCCTATTATTTGCCCTATGTATTGTCCACTGCCTTAGGCAGCCTTAATGTTAAACAGTTGCCTCTGATTATTTTCAACAAACACCTCCAGGGAGAAAGTTGTTTGTACTGGGTGGGCTCTGAGTCAGGTCAAATAAAGACAAGTCTTTTAAATGAGGTCTTCCAGGAATAACCAGACAGGTCAAATAATGACTTTTCTCTAGGATTGGGGCTTTGAAAGAATGCCATCCCTATTTTGCCCCTTCCAGTGGCTGCTAGGCCTGTTGATTTTCACTGAGTACAGACTGTTTTCAAGTTTACCACAGACCTGGGGAGAGAGGAATGGGAATAAGGGAAGTTAAAATGCCACAAAGCTCACTTTTCTTATTACAATTTGGCTGTTATTCTTGAATAAATGCTCCCCAGAATGCTGCAAGCTTGTGGTTAATTTACAGAGTTCTGAAATTTATTATGAAATTTTTTTCCAGTTTTATTTATTTTATGGGGCAGAGAATTTTCAGAGGTCCTATTCCACCATTTTCTCTGACATCCCTGTTCATTTGTTGTTAACTTAAAAGTTGTTTCTTTTATTTTGGATGTAGAAGAGACAATATATTTGAAGATTCTGTTTCAGCTGTGCACATGACATTTTCTCTCTCAAAATTCTGTTTCAGTTGTGTGTATGACATCTCTGTCAAACTTTGGATCTCAGTTTTTCCATCTGCGGAGGAGGGGTGCAAATATATCTCCCCATCTACTCCATATGCCTGTCTGAATTAAATCCTCTTATGTGTTGGAAGTGCTTTGGTCTCTTTAGAAGAAAAATACTTAACTTTCCAAAGGCTTCATGATTGTTGCTTCTTGTTCTGCTTCCTACTGTGTGTCCTCGATCAATCTACTGAACCAGTTACTTCTCTCTTTCTAAAGAAGAGACAATGCTCCCTTCTTCTCCCATAGACATGCCAGTACATTTACATTGCTTTAAATGTCTTTAAAATTGCTTGAAGATGTCAAGCAAAACCTGTTGTTATTTTTTACAGTTTGACTACAAATTATAAATATTTTCCACATGATGCAGTATATTTTAATGCCATCCTGCAGATGATTAGCGGAAGTTTTTAAATATTACACATAATTCTAGAAATAGAGTTTTGAAACCTCCTTTGTATGTCCTTCTCATTCTCTCTTTGGTGTTTTTTGTTTGTTTGTTTGTTTGTTTTTTGGATCAAGTACCTCCCTAGTTCCATTGATTCCAAACTTCTCTGTGGAGAGCTTTTAGAACTCATAGCTTTTTTTGGTTTTTATTGTGGCAAAATATACATCACATAAAATTTACCATTTCCAAGTACATAGTTCAGTTGTATTAAGCACATTTGCATTGTGTCATGCATGCATCCCTTTTTCAGAAATATAGATTCTCTAGTTCCCTCACTATTTGCTTTGTGAAGCAACATCATTGTTAAAATTAAATAATATGTACTGTACTGTTTTTTGCTCATTCATTATATAGAAAGCTGTGAGTTTTATGAAATATAGTAGCTACTATTTCGGTGGTCATGCTTCCTTTAGATCCTTTCATTTCTAGAAACAACCTAATTGTTCATACACAATATATTTAACTCACATCTGTTTTGGTGCTGCAGGTTGTAATGCCAGCAGGAATTAACTCGACGATAGTGGTGTCAAGAGGATTGTATCATCCAGCAACAATCTTTATGGGCCGCCAAATGTCAGCCATCTCAAGCATTGGAGATTTCAGTGCAGAGCAGAAATCTCCCCAACCCACAAAGAACTTTTCAGTTCCTGACCCATGTTCACACCGGCAGACAGCCCAGAGCAGTAACGTGACAGACAGCTGTGTAGTACAAACTAGTAGTGACACACAGTGCTTAAATAAGTCTGACAAAACAGATGGAAAGACATCTTTTCATATTGGTGAGAAAACGCCAGTCACAGCCAGTTTATTGTCTGAGGAGGAACAAACTCGTTGCTTGGAGATAGGAAGCAACGCACGTCATGGTAAGAGTAATTTATCTGAAGGCAAAAAGTCTGCTGAACTCCATTCCCTGTTACAGGAAAGATTAAGTCCAGAGCACAGAACTACTGATTTAAAGTGTGACAGTTCCAGCAGATCAGAGGGATCAGAGGGAGAAATACTGACATGGGAACATATTGAAGTCGAGGAAGAAAGAGCAGCCCACCAGTCTCTCTGATATCAGTTTCAGAATACTGTGCATCTGAAAATAAGTGGTCTCAAGAGAAGCATTGTGCTTGGGAAGGTTTCTCAGGTGGGATGAGCGGCTGAGTTTCTTTGCTGGTTTTTATTGGCATTTAGTCTTTCTGGGTGGTAGTGATTTCATGTAAGGACAAAATATACTCATTTTATTTCTTTGTAGAAAACAAAATAGTGGCTTTGCCAACAAATTCCATTCTAATGAATTCTTAAATATTTTTGCGAGTAGATTCACTGACTTTTAAATCTACTGTGATATTTTTTAACCTACCGTGATATTTTTAAAAATATTTGTTAATATTTTTGAGTTTTTAAATACTCTGATTAGTTGTGGATTGTTTCTACATGTGTGTAACTGATGCCTAATTCTGCTCTGTGTTATCTCACTTCTCTCTGAAGTTAGTGATCAGTCATCTATTCATAATCCCCTCTTACAGATAATCTTGCTCATGGGGACCCAAAGTCACAACGACAAATGCAAGAACAAAAAATGTTCAGGAAAATGCAAGAGGAACAGGAGGAAGATTTGAGCAGCAGCAGTGACCTCACAGTTTCTGTAAGTGAGGATGATCTGATTTTAAGGAGTCCAGAACCACAGCCAAAACCGGCTGACAAGATAGAAGGAGAAGATGGAATGCAGGCCTTAAAATTAATCCACACTGAGCAAGAAAGAGATGCCCTATCCACTGACAAAAATAATTATATTTTGCAAACTCTAAGCTCTCCTGATTCAAAAAAGGAATCCTCTACTAACTCACCAACAAGAGAGTAAGCCATTCAATTTTTTTTTTACTCTTCTGTTTTTAATTATAGACATTTTTAGAGACCTTTCCACTGAGAATGTATTACTGAGCACTTAGCCATGAATGTGTAAGTTCCTTAAGTCTCATAAGTAGTCTTTCAGATAAGATCTAATTTTCTTTCTTTTACTTTCTCTCTTTTTTTTTTTTTTAACAAAATAGGTTTAAAAGTCTGAATATCACTGAACTGAACTGTGGTGATTGATAGTTTATAATTATATCCAAACAATTTCTGGTTAATTCATAATTCTTTCCTACCACGCCCGACCCTCAAGCCTTTTAGGAAGTAAATTCATTTTGAACTTCTGGTTCCATAGAAGGTGACAAATAGTTAAACTTACTAGGAATTCAATTTTAAAGACTAAGAACTTTGTATCTAATTAATTTGCTTAATCCTTAATATTCCTTCCCATAGTGCCTTTTCTGTCCTGTGACTAAATATGAGTTAATAAGTTCTTCTAATTGTATTTCTAAACCAGCTTTCCTTTTCTGAATGTAAATATGAGGGGACATTGGAATCTCTAGTGTCAAACAGGAACATCAGTGTTATATATTTTGAGCACTTATAATATCTAATTCATGAAAGCTCCTATATGCTTTTTCACTATTGATTAGAGATACTAGGTGGAAGAAAATTTTGTACGAAGTTTTTGTGTATCTACAGTGTAGAAAACTTGTTAACTGCTGAAAACTGATTCCGGGATAAAAAAAAAAATAGTACTAATAGCATCAAATTTCTTTTATGGGTAGAAGGCACCTAAGTAAACAGGCTACGGTAGATCTCACCTTTTATAAATGAGGAAACTAAGGCAAGAGACACAGTAGTGTCACATAGGCCACTGGCGGCAGAGCCCTTCATACGGCCTGCCTCCTCGACCCCCATAACTTTCAGTTACATGATGCTGGTCACCCTTTTATTCCAACAGTCCTGGCAGCAGTGAAACGCCAAGCGGATGTTCTTGTATATGAGGGCATATCTTCTCTTTTAGAGCACCATTATACCTTAAAATAGTGGCTTTGCCAACAAATTCCATTCTACTGAATTCTTAAATATTTTTGTGAGTAGATTCACTGACTTTTAAATCTACTGTGATATTTTTTAACCTACCGTGATATTTTTAAAAATATTTGTTAATATTTTTGAGTTTTTAAATACTCTGATTAGTTGTGGATTGTTTCTACATGTGTGTAACTGATGCCTAATTCTGCTCTGTGTTATCTCACTTCTCTCTGAAGTTAGTGATCAGTCATCTATTCATAATCCCCTCTTACAGATAATCTTGCTCATGGGGACCCAAAGTCACAACGACAAATGCAAGAACAAAAAATGTTCAGGAAAATGCAAGAGGAACAGGAGGAAGATTTGAGCAGCAGCAGTGACCTCACAGTTTCTGTAAGTGAGGATGATCTGATTTTAAGGAGTCCAGAACCACAGCCAAAACCGGCTGACAAGATAGAAGGAGAAGATGGAATGCAGGCCTTAAAATTAATCCACACTGAGCAAGAAAGAGATGCCCTATCCACTGACAAAAATAATTATATTTTGCAAACTCTAAGCTCTCCTGATTCAAAAAAGGAATCCTCTACTAACTCACCAACAAGAGAGTAAGCCATTCAATTTTTTTTTTACTCTTCTGTTTTTAATTATAGACATTTTTAGAGACCTTTCCACTGAGAATGTATTACTGAGCACTTAGCCATGAATGTGTAAGTTCCTTAATGGCCCCACAAGTGCTTTTTAAGTATCTGCTTGCATCGTGTTTACTAATGTCCCATTGGCTAAAGAAAGTCACAGGGTCCAGCCAAAGTAAAGAGGTGGAGAAATCCAGTCCATCTCTTTGTATGAGTGGCAAAGTCACATTGCAAAGGACTCCACTAACGCATATCAAGACTTCTGTCCCATGGGAGCTATGAGATAATAAATTTGTGTTAAGTGCTAAACTTGTGGTCATTTGTTAATGCAGCAACAGAAAGTTAATATAGTGCAATTGAAGAATTGGAAGCAAGGATCATATCTTTGCAAGGATTGTATGAGTAAAAGTATCTACCGGTAGTGACCAGAAGCAGGCTGAATCAGATGTGTTCTGAGTTCAGTGTAGGAACACATGGTGACAGGGTAGCCAAGTGAGTGGCCAAGTAGGCAAGGTGACCTGTGCTTTCCCTCACCTTGTACCCTTACTGTGTGAGTAAGTGCATTTTCACATCTGGCCACATGCAAGTAAACCGTGATGGAATATTATAGACTGATAGGGACCTAGAAAAGTGGTGTGGGCATACATCTGCATTAACCAACAAGCAGTTTCTCATGCTGACATGTTTCTCTGGTTCTTCTCTAGCGAGTGAAGTAATATATTAAGGGGTTTTGTTGTTGTTTTGCTTTGTTTTGTTTACAAATGCATAATGACGTATACACCTCTAGAGTATCATACAGAATAGTTTCACTGCATAAAAACCCCAGGTGCTCCATCCACTCATCCCTCCTCTTCTCATCCCCCCGCCCCCATTCAAACCCCAGGCAAGTACTAATCTTTTTATTGTCTATAGTTTTGCCTTTTCTAGAATGTCTTATAGATGGAATCCTGCAGTATGTAGCCTTTCAGATTGGCTTTTTCACTAAGCAGTGTTCTTCCATGTCTTGTCTTACTGTGTCTTGCTATCTCGTTTCTTTTCAGCACTGAAAAATATTTCATTATCTGAATATGCCACAGTTTATCCATTCACCAACTAAAGGACGTATAGGTAATTTTTAAGTTTTGGCAATTATGAACAAAGCTGCCATAAACATCCATGTGCAGATTTTTGTGTGGACATAGGTTTTCAACTCGTTTGGGTAAATACCAAGGAGTGTAATTACTGGATCATATAGTTAGTCTACGTTTAGCTTTGCATTATCACCAGCAATGAATGAAAGTTCTTGTTGCTCTAAATTTTTGTCAGCATTTGGTATTGTCAGTTTTTTGGATTTTAGACATTCGAATAGGTATATAGTGGTACCTCATTGTTGCTTTAATGTACAGTTCCCTAATGACATATGATGTTGAGCATCTTTTCATATACTTATTTTCCATCTGTGTATCTTCTTTGAGAAGTCTGTTCAGATTTTTTTCTTTTTTTTGCAGCTATAGGGATCTAAACCCTTAACCTTGGTTCTTGCCCATTTTTAATTTGGTGGTTCATTTTCTCAGGTCTTTGTCTGGTGAATAATGTGTTTTGCAAATATTTTTTCCCAGTCTATGGGTTGTCTTTCCCTTCTGCTAGCAGTGTCTTTTGCAGAGCAGAAGTTTTAAATTTTAATAAAGTCTGACTTCAGTTTTTTTTATGCATTGTGTTTTTAGAGTTGTATATCAACTTATTACCAAACCCAAGGTCACCTAGATTTTCTCCTGAGTTACCTTCTAGAGATTTTATAGTTTGCATTTTACGTTTAGAGCTATGACTTATTTTGAGTTAATTTTTGTGAAAGGTGTAAGGTCAGTATCTAGATCAATACAGACACACACACACACACACACACACACATACATATACATGTATATATATATTTTTTGCCTATGGATGTCCATTTTTCAGTACCATTTCTGGAAAAGACTATTTTTTCTCCATTGAATTGTCTTTGCTCTTTTGTAAAAGGTCAGGTGGCCATATTCGTGTGGGCCTATTTCTGGGCTCACTATTGTTTTCCATTGATCTATTTGTCTATTCTTCCACCAGTACCATACCCTCTTGATTTCTATAGCTTTATAGCATGTCTTGAACTCATTTAATGTCAATCCTCTAATACCATTCTAATTCAGTACTGTGTTGGCTCCTCTGGGTCTTTTGCCTTTCTTATAAATTTTAGAATCAGTTTTTTTTAATATAAAAAAATTTGCTTGGGTATTGATTGGGATTGTATTAAATCCATAGATCAAGTTGGAAAGAACTAGCATCTTACCAATATTGAGTCATACTATCCATCAACATGGAATGTACCTCCATTTATTTAGATTTTCTTTGATTTCTTTAATCATCTGAATTTTGTCATTTTCTTCATGTGGCTCTTGTACATATATTGTTTATTTATTCTTAAGTACTTTATCTTCCTTGATGCTAATGTAAAAGCTATTGTATTTTTAATTTCAAATTCCATTTGTTTATTGCTGGTATATAGGAAAGCAATTGACCTTATGTTCTGTAACCTTGCTGTAATTGCTTATTATCTATAAGAGTTTTTTGGTCAGTTGTTTGGAATTTTCTGTATAAGCATGTCATCATCTGTGAACAAAGTTTTCTTTCTTCCTTCCTAATTTGTATGCCTTTTATTTCCTTTTCTTATTGCATTCGCTAGGACTTAGAGTGTGATGTTGAATAGTAGTTGTGAGAAGGACATCCTTGCTTGTTCTTAATCTTTCCCCATAAGTTCATCACCATCAAGTGTGATATTAGCTATAGGGTTTTTGCAGAAGTTCTTCTCTAGTCCTAGTTTGCTCAGAGTTTTTCTCGTGAGTGGGTGTTGGCTTTTGTCAAATGCTTTTTTTGTACCTAATGATATGATCATATGGATTTCTTTAGCTTGTTAATGTGATGTGTTATATTCATTGATTTTTGAATTTTGAATCAGCTATATATATCTGGGATAAATCCCACTTGGTCACAGTACATAATTTTTCTTATACATGTTTTGGATTCAATTTGCTAATATTTTATTAAGGATTTTTGCCTCTATGCTTGTGAGAGATTGACCAGTAGTTTTCTTTTCTAATAATATCTTTATCTGGTTTTGGTGTTAGTGTAATGCTGGTTTTACAAAATTAGTTAACACATGTTCCCTCTGTTTATATTTTCTGGAAAGAATTGTGTAGAATTGGTATAATTTCTTCCTTAAGTACATGATAAAGTTCACCAGTGAACCCATCTGGACCTGATTTTGGAAGGTTAAATATTGACTCAATTTGTTTAATCAATATAGGCCTATTCAGATCATCTGTTTCTCCTCGTGTGAGTTTTGGTAGGTTGTGTTTCAAGGATTGGTCCATTTCATCTAAGTTATCAAATTTGTGGGCATAGTTATTCATAATATTCCTTTATTATTCCTTTAATATACATGGGATCAGTACTGATGATCTCTCCTTCATTTATGATGTTTATGCCTTCTGATATATGTGTCTCTTCTTTTTTTCTTGGATAGTCTGGTGTAATGGACTGAATATTTGTGTCCCTTCAAAATTCATATTGAAACCCTAATCTGCAATGTGACTGTATTTGGAGATAGGGCCTCTGAGGAGGCGATAAAGGTTAAATGAGGTCATAAAAGTGAGGCCCTAATCCAATAGGTCTAGTGCCCTTATAAAAAGAGGAAGAGACACCAGAGCTCGCTCTCCCGCACCATGTGAGGACATAGCAAAAAGGGAGCAGGCCTCACCAGTAGCTGAATTGGCTGGCACATCTAGTGCCCTTATAAAAAGAGGAAGAGACACCAGAGCTCGCTCTCCTGCACCATGTGAGGACATAGCAAAAAGGGAGCAGGCCTCACCAGTAGCTGAATTGGCTGGCACCTTGATCTTGGACTTCCCAGCCTCCAGGCCTGCGAGAAATAAATTTTGGTTGTTTAAGCCACCCAGTCTATGTTATTTTGTATTTTGTTTGGTCTCAAAGCATGCTTCCTATGACTTTATTCTTTCAAATTTGTTGCGGTATATTCTGTGGCTTAGAATGTGGTCTGTCTTGGTGAATGTTCCACGTGAGTTTGAAAAGAGTGTGGGATGAAATATTCTATAAATGTCACTTAGATCTAATTGATTGATGGAGCTGTTCATTTTGGCTGTATCCTTACTGATTGTCTGCCTGCTGGACCTGTCAGTTACTGATAGAGATGTGTTCAAGTCTCCAACTATAATAGTGTATTTGTCTATTTCTCTCTTTATAGTTCTACTAGTTTTTGCCTATGTATTTTGATGCTCTGTTGTTAGGAAGATACACATTAAGGATTTTTATGATACCCCTAGGTGTAGATTTTTTGGTGTTTATCCTGCTTGGTGTTCTCAGAGCCTCCCAGATCTGTGGTTTGGGGTCTATCATTAATTTTGGAAAATTATCAGCCATTATTACTTAAAATACTTTTGCTCCTTTTTCTCTTTCTCCTNAAAAAAAAAAATAGTACTAATAGCATCAAATTTCTTTTATGGGTAGAAGGCACCTAAGTAAACAGGCTACGGTAGATCTCACCTTTTATAAATGAGGAAACTAAGGCAAGAGACACAGTAGTGTCACATAGGCCACTGGGGGCAGAGCCCTTCATACGGCCTGCCTCCTCGACCCCCATAACTTTCAGTTACATGATGCTGGTCACCCTTTTATTCCAACAGTCCTGGCAGCAGTGAAACGCCAAGAGGATGTTCTTGTATATGAGGGCATATCTTCTCTTTTAGAGCACCATTATGCCTTTTAATATATTGCCTCTTACCAATCATTATATGCTTATTGTATAAAGTTTAATTTATAT